GGCCATGGCAAGTTGGATGTGGCAAGTTGGCCATGTGAGTTGGCCATGACAAGTTGGCCATGGCATGTTGGCATGGCAAGTTTACTATGTCAGGTTGGCCTTGATAAGTTGGCTGTATTGAATTGGCCATGACAAGTTGGCCATAGTGAATTGACCATGGTGAATTGGCCATGGCGAGTTGACCATGGTGAGTTAGCCATGACAAGTTGGCCATGACAGGTTGGCCATGACAAATTGGCCATGACAAGTTGGCCATGACAAGTTGACCATGATAGGTTGCCCATGACCCATTGGCCATGACAAGGTGGCCATGACAGGTTGGCCATGACAGGTTGGCCATGACAAGTTGGCCATGACAAGTTGACCATAACAAGTTGCCCATGACAGGTTGCCCATGACAACTTGGCCATGGCAAGTTGGCCATGACAGGTTGCCCGTGACAGGTTGCCCATGGCAGGTTGCCCATGACAAATTGGCCATGACAAGTTGACCATGACAAGTTGGCCATGGCAAGTTGGCCATGACAGATTGGCCATGGTAAGTTGGCCATGGTGAGTTGCCCACAGAAAATTGCCCTAAATCCCTGTGGAAAAGTCTGGGGTTCAGTTAGTAAGAAGGTCGATTCTCCCCAAATCTCGGGGTGGGGAAATAATGAATTCACAAACCAGAAGATCAAAAGGAGATAAAATATGAAAATCAGAAAAGGAGGCCATTCATCATAACACAAAACCCCCTTCGTTTATTAATACTTATTAGCATCCATGCTGAAGGTGAAAAAATGTCCTGGTAGTCCTCAATTTATAACAATTCATTTAGAGACTATTTGAAGTTACAGTGGCTTATGACCATTTCCCACACTTACGACCATTGCAGCATCTCCGTGGTCATGTGATCAAAATTCAGACATTGGGCAACTGACTCGTATTTATGACGTATTTATCACAGCGGCCCGGGGTCATGTGATTCCCTCTTGCAAAGTCAATGGGGAAGGCCGATTCGCTTTACAACTGTGTGACTAACTTAACGACGGCAGCGATTCACTTAACCATCATGGCGAGAAAGGTCGTAAAATATGACAAAACTCACATAGCAACGGCCTCGCTTACAGAAATGTTGGACTCAGTTGTGGCCCCCGAGAACCGTCTGTATTTCAAGAAACAAAGCTTAATTTCCG